CAACCTTCAGTCTCCAGGCAAAAACGTGTATTCTCCAACTGCTTCGCAAGAGGTTGCCGGCAGTTGGTAGGTGAAGTTGGTCTCAAAGAAATGTATGGTGCTACCCCGAAAACCTTATTACGATCAATTTGGCCGCTAGCAGACTGCCGCAGTGACTTGTAGCTTGCGACTTGTTTACAAGCACTTGCCAACTCTTTGGTAGCGGCAGTGAAACTGTTAATAGTGTGAAGCGCAGAGAGCATTCCCCTTCAGATTAAATGTGTTTGTTTCAGCAGTAAGGCACGACTTCTGGTCTGCTTCTTCTAGCACTTGTTGGGTATTTAATAGAGATGGCACGATACCACTTTTTTATGTCCGATACCGATACCGATATCATAAATTTGGATATCTGCCGATACCGATATGAATCCGATATAGTGTTTTTTAATCAACAAAACTGTTTTTTAAATATCTTGCTGCATTTTGTATAAGTTCATACTCAAGTTTAAAACAACAACTACACTAAAGCTATTCTGTTATACCTGTATGCAAAAAAAAATATTTCATAGTTCAGCAATACTGATCAATCTAATAAACTTAAACCTACACCATCCTCCCTATTCTGGTATTTTAAAGAGTACTTAGCATAAATATTAAGCAACCTAACTAATAGGGTTCCAACTCCCAGCAACAACAAAAATAAATAAATAAAAAATGGGGAACCACCCCTCACGCTCCACCTCATGATGCTTAATCAACGTAATCAACCTTAATTTGATGCAGTGTGAAAAAAATGCACAGAAATCAATTATTTTTCAAGAAATATTAAATAGATTCAACATCTTTCTTCAACAAAATTGCAGACTGCACAGATGGTACCTTCCCAAAGGAAAAAGTACTATAGCTTACTAGGGTATATATATTAGACTTAATAGTTACTATATACAGTAATTGACTTCTATTCATTTTACATCAAATTGAAACTTTGGTGTCAGATAATTATTTATTAAAAGCTAGACATTTTAAATGAGAATAAGAAAGAAAAGTATGTCTTTGTGCCCCCTTTTCCCTGTTAATGCCCTATCGGCCCCCCTGGCTAAACTTTGCTAGATCCGCCCCTGCACAGTTACCAGCCGTCAGCTACGTAGAAAAAGATCCTGGTGTAGAAAGTAATATTAAATAAATTCTAACAACAGCTGATCAAGCTTAAACGTGCTGCTGTTGTTCAGCCCCTGGTTTCCTCTTTCTGGTGCAAAGTGGGCCAAAAGCAAACAAGAGACAAGGACTCCCGACAGAAAAGCCGATCAGCTGATCGTTAAGCAGTTTCATGATTGAAGTAGCAGCAAGAAGAGGCAGTCGCAGGAATGCTTTACAAACATTCAGAGATGGACTTACACACTTGCTTTACTTCTCTCGGGGATAACTTTGTCGGAGATGAAATGCCGGGTTGCTAGCGAAGCTCCAAATGCTATCCAGACCACCGACAGGTCCCGCATGCCACAGCCGCTCTATCACGTGATGCATACTGCTCCGACGTGCTAACGTTCTGAGGTGAGTTACGGCGTGTTGCAAGTTTTGTGAGGTGCTTTCGTGATATTTAATGGATCGGATTACATTTTTTATTTTTCTCCGATATCCGATCCAGTAATTTAGGTCAGTATCGGACCGATACGTAATATCGGATCGGTCCATCTCTAATATTTAACATACTTTCTATGTAAATATACAGGTGACCACTGGTTCTAGCAACCAGAGAAATTCAAAGTATATTTTTAGTGCCTTAGCCTAAGTGCAATGAATTTCAGCCAGTGACAGCAGCAGCCTACAGAATCCAACCAGTTGAGGGAAACACATTTTTTCCCTACTGACCAGGGGTTCCCATTGGGTTGCTGACTGCTCTCTAGCTCTGTGTGGCTGAGGCTTTACAGACTATAAAGGATAATAAGAAAACATCTGCTATCATTACACTTAATCTAATTTTTAGACCAAGAAGAAGTGACACATGAGCCACTCTGTTTCCATTTTTAGTTTTGTGTGCTTTGTTTGTTTGTCTCGTGGCATCACCCACAGCACATTGTGGCAGTGTTGACTGCTTGTGAATGAAACCGTTTCAGAGATAATGCGGGGCCTGATGTTTCAGATTTTTTATTGTTGCTAAGACCAACTAACATATCTAGCCCATTGAATCATTTATGGAGGGGAACACACTGCTCTGACTTGTAACACAGTGTTCTCTCTCACACGCTTTGGTCTGGCATCTGGAAACGGCGTTGATGAGAGAAGATTCGGTTCAGCTGTGTGCGGCAGCTGTGCCTGTGTGGGTCTCTACATCGGTCCAAAGGTCATAGCATTCCTAATTGTCTGATAGCGTTTCTATTAAAAGTAATAGCAAATCTTGTTCGTTCACAGTTCAACGCAGTCTGCAGAAAATGCATGAGATAGTTTTGTTTGTGCACACCTACATATTCATGTATCCATCAAACAAGCTGCAGACGAGGTGTAACGTCTCGTCGACGTCAACAACCCCGTCTCAAAGAAAGGAATGTCAGCACACTGGTGGTCTGCAGCTTTCCAATGCAGTAGGATAAGATTGATTCCATGTGTATTCAAAAGGCTTTTCCCTCAATATTCAGATAGTTCTCAAAGATAGAACTACAATACACGGGATCATACAAATTTGTGAAGCATGAATGCAAAATTATTCACTCATATTTACTAACAGGTGGGATGGCGAGCTATCCATCTTCCTTCTACTTCCCGGCTACTAATGGTCAAAATGCACTACTTGTTCCAAGTTTTCTATTCAGTTTGTTAGGCGGGAGAAGTGAAGCATAAATCGTCACGGCGGCACTTCATCTCACACAAACCTCCTTTTTTCCCCCGATTGGTCCTGAACTTCTGACCTTTAAGCTGTTGCTCTCAAAAACATTAAAAGGCCTTGAGAAGCTCTCTCTAGCTACTTAGTTGTGCTGCAACCAGGCAATGAGAAACAGACATATGTGATTCATGCATGGTGGGCATATGGTTTTGGTTGAACAGAGATATCCAGAGTTAAAAACAGCAGTTTTTTAACCTGTATTCATGAGGTGCTCTTACGATCATGCCATGCAGTTCATTTTGCTCTACTGTGTATTTAAAGCACTGATATGCAAATGATATGTGACCTTGTATATCTAAAATTCTTGCACCTTGCAAAGTCGCTTCTGAGTGATTGGCACTGATAACAATTCAGCATGTTGTGGCAGTTTCACTATCAATGTTCCGTCACATTTCTGTGATTGGTGATAATTTATTCATTAGTAATGCATTTTAACCACACACATGTTCACTGTTGCACAACAGTGAACCCAATTTATCTTCTCCAGCTCTGCAGCAGCAAACTTTTTGCAGACCTATTGCATCTGATAAAATAAAAGGTCAGGGTGACACTGCAGCAAAAAGTTTTTACTGTTTTCTCCTCTTAATGAGCAAATCCCCTGAATGTAATGCTGCTCATCTTCAAGTCTAAATATCTTTTGGCTTCCTTTGGGACACATTCTGGGCCTTTTCCTTTTCAATGTGCAGTTCAAGGAGAGCTTAACACTTATTAAAAAGCCTGCTTCGGCTCCCTGACTAACTAGTCTGTACAGCAGCAAACAAACACATAATCCCTTGCCATCTCTGCGGGTACAGCTGAGTGCTTTTCCTCAGTGTCACCCAGATGGCTATGCAGTAAATAAACAATAACAGTTGGAAGAAAATCACACGAGTCCATTAGAAAGCACATATGAGCATTGCATAGGCCAGAGAAGAGGAAACTATTTACAAATACTAATTAATACCCGTACATTCATTGTGCATGAACGGCTCTATGGCAATACCAATTCACCAGCTGCAGTCATGTGAAAAAGAACGTTTTCACAGGCCTCTATGCAGGGCTGTGAAAGTTTTAGAACATCCCGATAACTTGAAGTTAGCATTTTCTGTGTGACTTTTTCAGTCTCATATCCATGTGGAGGAATTTTGGCCCAATCTTCTTTACAATGTTGCTTTAGTTCATTGAGGTTTGCAGGCATTTGTTTATGCAGAGCTCTGTTGCAGCATTACAGTCGGTTTAAACACGTGAGTCTTTCCTTTTTCAGTCATTCTGTTTTGGATTTGCTGCTGCGCTTGTGATCATTGTCATATAGCATGACTTAGTTTGGGTCAAACTCTACCTGCCTTCACTCTTGTATACCTCTTTTTGGTATACAAGAGTAATCTGCGGTCGACTCAGTTACTGAAAGTCTTGTGGTTGCAAAACAGGCCTCCTCCACCACCCTGACAGTTGGTTTGAGGGGTTTGTGCTGGTATGCTGTATTTGGTTTTCACCAATTCTGGCGCTGTGCGTAATGACCAGACATCAGCGTTTTGGTCTCATAGAACTCTTGTGTTTTATTCACATGCAGCTCTGCAGACTTGCAGCTCTATCCTTTTTACAGAGAGGAGGCTTTTTTTTAATTGTCCTGTCATCAGCTTTAGCATTTAGCATCCATGTTGGTGTTTATTTGTTGTTTATTTTCAGATTGTTTTGGGGGTTTTTTTTTGCAATTTCTTTGAGCATTGCACACCACGCATCTGACCTTGGGATGAACAGCCACTGGGAAGACTGTAGCATTGTGTTAACACACAGTTGAGGAATGAATCAAATACACTACTCACACATATAGCTGGGTTAAAACTTGGAAAATAGTCCTGCAAACTAGATACACGAAACAAATGCTGTTGAGCGGATTCTTAAAAATTGTGAACTGTATCACTGCCAGAGCAGAACAATGCTGCATGAACTTTATTCAAAGAACTGAAGGCTGCATTTGCATTTTGTTGATTAGGCAAGCTTTACTGAATCGCTTTTAATTTAAAGATACTGGATGCCACCCCTCCATAATACGCACTTGGCAAACTATCAAGTCTACTTTGTCATGTTTAATTTAAAAGGTCGGTAAGTCCGAATGAGTAATTAAAGAGTTTAAAAGTGTTCTTGTGTAAATAAAATTGTACCCATGAAGTCGGGTAGTGATGATGGGATCTGTGGAGTGTTGCCTTTACAGATGCATTGGTTCAAAGAAGAGAAGACCATCCCCAACTCTGTCTGTTGCTGCTGCCATCATGTGGGGTGGTTTCTGCACAGGCTGCAAATATTGCACAGTAGATTTGTAATTTTAGCAGATCTAAAGCCTGCTTGCTTTCTTTAAGTGCTTCTCTTTTGTCCCCATTAAGAGTGAGGGACATCAGCTGATGTTAGCAAGTGACAAAGCACATAAGATCATTGAGAAAAGGAGCTGAGGGACGTTTTCCCAAAGTCTTCGGCCTCCTGGGTCTCCTCCAAGTGGCTATCGAAAAGAGCATCTTCTTTTTACACTGTCTGTGCACTCACCTTTTTACCTATACTTGTATTAACTAGTGAAGTGTAATAATCAGCAACGATTGTATTTTTGTGCCTGTGCAAACTTCACTGGGAATTACATAACATATTTTGCCAGAGGACCTGTGAGAGTCAGCGTCTGCGATTTGAGCTCTTTTCTTTCCAAGTTTTTTGTTTTTCTGCTGCCTCTTTTTCTGCTTGAGAATTTGAGTAGAGGAGTTTGCGTCAGCAAAGCTTGGAGCAGCATTTGTGTGCGATTTCATGACTCATGTTGCCACACAGCATGATGAACAGTTTACAGAAAATGCAGGCTGAAATCCATCAGAAGCAAAATCCCAAAGGATGATCAGATGGGATCAATGGCAGCGTGAGCTGAGCGACATTTTTCCTAATGAATATTTGTAATCAAGTCTGCGGATGATGGTAGAAAATTTGAGTGAAATACAAACTTTGCTTATGCCATACAAATTCATCACACAGAACAGTGACATGATGGGATCATTTCCAAATCACATTAAGTCCCCCGGTAATACTAATCCTGGATGGATTGAGCTAAAGACTATATTACATTGTCATCTGTGTCAGTTGTGAATCGTGACACAGAGCTAAACCCGAGAGATCTGCCCGTCTCTCTCCCGACAGCTGTTTTCCCAATACTGACATGAAAAATGGCCGCTGACCTCCACCAACAAAAGCAATGTTTTGTTTTGGCTCTTGCACGACAAGAGTTGCAGTCCATCAAAGTTATTATAACAACTACTTGAAATTTTCCATAATTGCCCAGCTTTCAGCCTCACAGCAGAGGACTGGCTGTGTTTGCACTGACTTACGCAATCCTTCTTCCTCTGCATCATGATTGATGACTCTTTGTTCGAGGTGATTATTCCTCTACTTTTATCTCATCCCATTTATAGCCGGAGCAAAGTCTGAATAAATGACTCTGTCCCTGACACATGCTTTACTGGAGCGGGAAACAATATTTTTCATAGTCATAACATCAATTCAAACAACTCTGTAAACATATATATTAGTGATCGGCGGTCTCCCTTTAAGTAAGTGTTATCGGTTTGATTACATGTCGCCGTCCTTTCTCCAAGGACACTCCACTGTCCTCTGAAAAACTGTTCGTTGATTTGCAGCACTTTGTGGAAAACAAACCATTTAGAAAAATGTTGTGTTCTGAAACACCTTAAAGAAATCCCATAAAAAGGCCATAATATTTACTACTTTGTCTGAGGTGCTCAACTACAACAACACACCGTACGAACTGGAAAGGCAAGCAGCTGTGACTGGGAGTTGGCTCGAATCACTTTGCTATTTTAAAAGAAGGCTATGCGTAGTACACATAGACAAATGTAGCCACAGATATAAAAGTGCAAAAATGTCTGTCTTAGACTGCAGAGACAAACAGGAGGGATGCTTTCTCTAAGTCAAGAAGTGGATCACAGATTAGGACATCTGACTGCGAGCGCATGATATCCTCAGCACATTTCCATTCCATTTATTTTGTAATTTTGTGTAGGATCATGCTTTAAACTATCAAGCTGATGAATGACATCACTTTAATGTCAAAGAGACATGAGGGGTGTGTTCCAAAGTCTCTCCTGCACAGGCCTCCTCAGTGTCCTCTTAAGTCAGGGGTGTCCAACTCCAGGCCTCAAGGGCCGGTGTCCTGCAGGTTTCAGATGCATCCTTGATCCATCACAGCTGATTCAAATGGCTAAATTACCTCCTCAAGATGTCTTGAAGTTCTCCAAAGGCCTGGTAATGAACTAATCATTTGATTCAGATGTTCTGACCCAAGGTGAGATCTAAAACCTGCCGGACGCTGGGCCTTGGGGCCTGGAGTTGGACACCCCTGTCTTAAGTCATACTGGTTTCCACGATTGGTACAGAAGCACTGAACTACTGTCCACTGGATACTTAGGATATTATAGGCTTTGGACAACACTGAGCGTGGTTGTTTTTGATGTTTTTATGGAATTGTTGACTATAAGCATTTGAAACAATGCAACTGGCCCACAGTTCAGTCAGTTCAGTCTTTTGACTGCATTTAAAAGATGTAGGTAGCAATCGTGACATTGTGCATTGTTTAGTAAGCCCTACTTTATCCTTGTTTCTGACTCATAATTTACAAAATCAGCATTTTGTTGCACATAGGTGTTAAACCAGCAACTGAACCCAAAAATATTCATGAAAGTGTTTACTGAGGTCAAAGATCGAGGGACCCTCAGGGCTGGTTTGCAGTTGCTTGGGCATTAGAAGCCTGGGCTTCACTTTGCAGAGCTGTAAACTAGGTTCATCATATATGGATGAAACAGTTTTTATTCTTTTCTGCTTTACTAATATCTAATTTAACTTTTCCTCTGTGCACTAATCAACCGCCCACATTTATTTCCCCATTTAGCCAGAGAAAATCGGCCAGTCTCCAGTCGCTCCAACATCAGACGGAGACAAGGTGGACCTGGAGGCCTTCAGCGAGTTCACCAAGATCATCACTCCCGCCATCACCCGTGTCGTTGACTTTGCCAAAAAACTGCCCATGTTCTCTGAGGTGAGTGGCGGTTAATTTGACCTGAAGAGCACAGCGGAGGCCAGAATTAACACAAAAATTGGCAAAACTGTTCATTTACCACAGCTAAACCAAGATTGCTTCAGTTTACCAGAAAAGTCCAGCACACAAGGAAAGTGCTGATCATTTACATATTTCCTCAAGCAATCGCAGTGTTTGCAAAATAAACCGGCCTTTGTTTCTGACAATTAGTGAAGCATTCCTGCTCCTGTTTGGCCTGCCTCACTTAGCAGCATGTAATCATGTTTCCCTTCTGCGCTGCTTGTAATGAGACCTCGGGTGATTGGATAATTATCAGGGTGTATCAGAACTGTTGTCTAGCGGGACAGCTGTAGTGACAGAGCAGTATGACTGTGAGTCTGCTGCGTGATGAATTACAGAAGAGGAAAAAGTCTTTACTGTGATCTATTAGAGTTTATGAAAATGTCACTTTTTTATTTTTTAATCAGCATATTTTAATGCATTGTATAATTATTATACAAGAATCGCTATCATGATGGATACTACTAATCAAGTCAGTGTCTGAGCATAGATAAACTCCTCTTAGTTTAGCTATAACAAATTTAAAGTTTGAATATTCCAGACACAAGCACATGATCAGCAATGTTTAATTTCCTATCTTCTTCTCACATTGTAACATATTTTATTATAAAAGAAGCCATTTTAATCTGATTAAAGAGGCAGAGGGAGGGAACTTGTTTGGCTTACAAGCGATCTGTTCGTGGCTCTGCAATAAATTACTAATAAGAATCCACAGAAACAAAGCCAGCATTCATTTAGCCAGTAAAAATTAATCTGTTGCTTTTTGACAAATTGATGCAGTACTAACTGCATTATTAGGCATTTACTTTTAAGCCTGCCCCCTAGTTAGAAATTTACAAGACAAATCAAGCCAGTGAATGTCAATTAATCTGCTCTGCAGTCAAGAGCAACGAGGAAAGAAACCAGCTTACATCAAGGTACGATTAATTCAGCACATCAGAGGCTGCAGATTTAATTGAACAGGTTTTAACCCAGAGTTTCTAATATCCATGTAAATCAGGGTGTATTAGTCATAATCTGTGTTCATCAGTGGGGGGGGAGGTACGCCTATTTTCAGCCCATCTTCATATTTCTCCTCCTCCCATCCCTTCCTCTTTAGCACGTCTCTCTGCCTTCCTTGCTCTCATTTATTATTTAGTATCCTCTTTACCTAAATTCTCTCTGCCATTATTTGCTGTACTGCTTTATTGACACTTGGATAATGGCGAAGATGTGGGAAGGTAGCAACGCAGCTGAGTCATATCTAATGTGTGAGCACTAAGGCAATCAACTGAAGGGCAGATATTTCTCATTTTTCTATGAAACTTACTGAATTAAATAAAAAATTGGTGTCAAAGATTCAGTTTGTGGATGGCAGGTTTACAGGGCAGTACCGGCTGTGAAACCATGGATGTATACAGATGCCAGTGTTTGAAATAATGCTGCAGAAGACATTTTTTTGTTAGCTTGCTTCATTTTTGTAGTTATTTATTACTACGACCCGTTGATATCGGCCATAAAATGAGATGATACAAGCAGCTTAATTGAGTTTCCATTGAAGGGTGTCTGCGATCCAGATTGGCTGAGGAGCTCAGTAATTTGGGATGGACTCAGATTAGAGCCACTATTCCTCCACATTGAAAGGAGCTAGGTGAAGTGGTTGGAGCACCTGATTAGGACGCCTCCTGAACACCTCCTTGTTGAGGTGTTTTTGGCATGTTCAGCTGGAATGTTGGCCCCGGGCAAACCAGGGCTCACTGCAGAGAATATACCTCTCAGATGGCTTCTGGTGTTTCTGGAAGAAGAGCTGGTGAAAAGGAGGTCTGGGCATCTCTGCTCAGACTGCTGCCCCAGCCTTTAGATCCAGATAATGAGCAGATGGATGGATATTATACAGCAAAATGGTTTATAAAGGAACACAGCTCTCTGAAATACAGTAAACTAAATAAAATACAGTAAAAATGGGTTAATAATAAATTTGGTAAAAACATACAAGGACATCAACTTTCAGATGACATTATAGTGACTCAGCATAAACAGCATGTAAAGTATAGTGGTATCTTTTATTGAATGATTATTTATTTATTTAAAAAACCTGTTAAATCGTTTTGTTTTTGGTTTTTTTGCACTTAATGTTCACGTTTATTTTTAGCCTTTCGCGTGACCGCTTGTCTGTGAAAAGCGCTTCATAGATAAACTTTTCTTACGTACTTGCTTTGTTTTTGAGAATATGACAATATGTTTGCTCGGAAATGAAAACGAACGTGTTTTTCATTCACCAGCTGCCTTGTGAAGACCAGATCATCCTGTTGAAGGGCTGCTGCATGGAGATCATGTCCTTGCGCGCAGCCATGCGCTACGACCCGGAGAGCGAGACGCTGACGCTCAGTGGGGAGATGGCTGTGAAGCGGGAGCAACTGAAGAACGGCGGGCTGGGCGTGGTGTCGGACGCCATCTTTGATTTGGGCAAGAGCCTGGCACAGTTCAACCTTGACGACACGGAAGTGGCGCTCTTGCAAGCCGTGCTTCTCATGAGCTCAGGTTAATGCTAAAACCTTTATTCCACATATTTAAAGCTACATGGCAGTCTCTGGACTTGTTGCACATGTTATTAGTGATATATCAGTTTGAATTTAATGCAATTTAAATGCAAATTTTTAGTGTCCTTTGGCCTCGCAGTTGCAATACAAAGACATCATTACTCGATACTCTACATATTATACAATGTAGCCTATTTTGAATCAAAATCTAATTATAGTCTGAAGATAAATGTCCACATGCTTATTCAGTGTTGGGAGCTCAATTTAAATGTGATGAATAAGTCTTTGCATGTCTCTAGTCTTGGTTTATTTATTGTAGAACATTTATTACGTACATGCGCAAAAGTGCAGTTTTTTCAAATAGTAGGATGCAAAAAAAGAGGGGATGCCCTCGTCTCTCTCAGTGCATCCACCAATTATTTAAAATATGGCAAATATACATAAATAATATATGAATATATATTTGGTGCTGCTGCCCCATGGTTAGCACCATCGGCTCACAGCAAGAAGGTGCTGGGATCTATGTGGTCATTTCTTTTCATTTTGTTGAGTGATATTCCGGCCTTCTCCCACATTCCTAAAACATGCATGGTTAAAGTACTTCTAAACTGGCCATAGGTGTGAGTGTGAATGGTTGTCTATCTCTATGTGTTGGCCCTGTGATAGACTGGCACCCTTTCAGGGCCTACCCAGTCTTTAGCTCTATGACAGTTGAAATAGGCTGCAGCGCCCCTGAACTGGATAAATGGAATAAATTGGATAGATGAATGAACGTAAATAATTTAAAGTTGTTTTTGTTTTTTTTTTACTGATATATATATATATATATATGAGAGAGAGAGAGAGAGAGAGAGATTAATTAGTCTAGAAGCATAAAAACATTTAAAAAATTGACAAATATATATATTTGTCAATTTTTTTATGTTCCTAGACTAAACGCTTGTATTTTTCCCAAGTTTAATAAACTGGAAAATTAGGATTTTTTTCTGGGTTGTAATCACCCAGATGGCACCATGATAATATAATGCTATTTGCAGTAAGAACCTTGGACATGATGCTTGATAACAGGTCTCATCTTATTTAGTATTGCTAACATTTATAGTTCTTACATCTTCAACTATGTAGTACTCATTGTCCATATGTTCTCTTTTCCCTTCTCCTTCTTCTATCCTTTTCCCATATTTCTTCTCCAACCCCCTCCCCACCGCCATCTGTGCTCCCTCTTCCCGCTCGCCTTCTTTGCTTTGTGCAGATCGCTCAGGCCTGACCTGTACGGAAAAGATCGAGAAGTGCCAGGAGACGTACCTGCTGGCGTTCGAGCACTACATCAACTACCGCAAGCACAACATTCCCCACTTCTGGCCGAAGCTTCTGATGAAGGTGACGGACCTGCGGATGATCGGGGCGTGCCACGCCAGTCGCTTCCTTCACATGAAGGTGGAATGTCCCAACGAACTCTTCCCCCCGCTCTTCTTAGAGGTCTTCGAGGACCAGGAGGTGTGAGGCACACTTGCCGGCACGCAAAGGGAAGAGAAAGTTGGAGCGAAACAGAAGATGGGTTAGTCCATCGTGCTTGTGGGGGAAGAATGGAGGGAGAATCCTCTCTGCAGGAATCTGCATTTCTCTGACATCACATTCACAGTATGTGGTTTTAAAACTGGAAACAACAATATCAGAAACGACACACCAGCAACAGGAGAGTGAAGCAAACAGAGGATTTTGTTTTGTGAACACCCTCTTCTCCACCTCTTTCTCCTCCTTATACCAACCCCTGTTTTAAAATCTGTTTGGGGGCCCTTCTGTCTGAGCATGATGTCTTATCTAGTAAGAGTTGTAGCCATTTGCCAAGACACAAACACACACAGACACACACACACACACTCACAGCCTGTTCCACCTCAGTTCTTCAGGGCAGCACTCTTTGGAGGGTCAGTTCCCCCTCCTTGGTTTTATTGTAGCGGTCACAGATTTACACTTGTCTTGAAGCCCATGTTTCCAGCGTCAAAGCTGGCCAGCACCTCTCAGTATTATTTCTGAATAAGTGTTAAGGCATTGATTCAGAAAGTATGGACAGTAGTGTCATCTTGTTGCTCACAGTCATGCAGGCGCACGAATTTAGCAGACACTGCACATAAAAATTTCAGCAGACGTAAACGTTTCCGTGGTGTATAACGGCGGCAGTAAAGCAGAGCAGCCACACCACTTATCAATTACTCAACTCAATCTGAGCCATGACAGCTGTTTTTGGAGCTTGTTCTTCTCATATCCCTGTGAAACCGGTGCTATATTTATATAAGGCTACTCCAGTTTTATGAAATTGTGTTCTCTACCTTTGAAAAACATACAGACCATGGCTTCATATCTACTTTCATTTTTGTCATTGGACCGGTTCCTGTGACGTACAACACACACATACGCACACACACGAGCAGACTTGCCTTGTCATTGCCTATGCTGCTTGTGCCAGCAGCCTACCATCTTATGAATGACAAGTAAGCCCTTCTCTGTCTGAAGAGTTACAGCATTGAAGGAAGGGAAGGAAGAGAAAAAGAAGGGGAAGGAGAAAGGGAGATGCTTAGAGGGGAGGTGGGAGAAAAGGAAGGCGCAGGGACAGAGAGAGGAATTACAACGTAAAAGCTGGACTGTAGCCAGAGTTCAGAAGTAAATCTCCCACACCCAACCTCCGAGGAGGCTCTGAATAGCAGCAAACACCAGCAAGACGGCAGGCCTCATCACATACACACTGACTCTCTTTTTGTCTTTTTAACTCTCTCACACACACACGAAAACACACATCACCTCAGAGTAACGTGAATGCCTCATTTTACTGAATGCACTGCACGGCAGTGTTGATATACAGCCCTAACCTGCAGGGTTTGTACAGAGTCCTCTTATCGTGGGCTCAACTCAGTGTGGCCCCTCCAGGCTTCCATACACATTTGCCTTCTGTTTTGTTTTGTTTTTTTTCTTGTTTCTTGGTTATTTTATTCTTTTTTTTTTATTTTATTTTTTTACCATGGGAGGTCACTGAGAGCAGGCAAATGCCAAGAAGGCTACCATTTACCTCAAAGTGGACACACCCCTAGGCTGGGGCAGCATTACTGCCCCTGTGGTGTCAGGCACTACCTCACCTCTGTGGACACAGGGCAGCTGCCCACAGCCTACACACAGACATACACCATTCGAGTTGGAGTATGTGTAGAATGATACACAGATGTGCATAGCTTTTTGCATAGGTGCACACTCGTAGTCATGGAAAGACTAAAACACTCACAGAATACACACATACACACAGCGCTGTCACTTGGTTCAAATGAAATACCACTGAAGACAGGAGGGCCAACCATCCCCCTGGAAGGTTTTACCCCCTTCCAGGGAGTGGTACCCATAACATTCGGGTTATCTCTTCTTCTTTTTCTTTTTCTTTTTTTTTATCAAGTGGGACCAAGTGTCATCTTTTCAAATTTGGATTTACCAGTTTCTCTAAAGACAGAAACCGGCTCGCAGAAGCAACGAAGGACAGCGTGGGATGTGCAGCCCATTAAAGCAAAAAGCAGCAAGAGGAACGATTACACGGAGTAACTGAAAAGTCAAGGTGGCCACGCCCGTCAAATCAGCATGTGGTGATGACGTACCACGCTACACTTACGATAGCTGCCACTGGAGCTTGGTAAATATTTTCATGGAAAATTTCAGCTTTCTGTCATGCATGGGCAGTGTGTTTGACATAAAAAATGATGGAGTGAAGCCTCCTCACAAGCAACTCAATCGCACTTCTAGCTCCCCAACGCTCACTACTATAGCAGTAATATCTCAGCTCAAACATCCATGGCAGATATGACAAGTTTACCCTCCAAATGACCATACAAGAGTGTTTGATTTGATTTCAAAAGCTCACTCTGTTCAATCCAATTCTGGGGCCAAGCCAAATCTCACTGGGTTGAAAGAAATCTAGTTTATTTTCTATCCAATACCAAGCAGTAGTTTATACTGGGCACATGCACAGGATGGGTTATCCACACCTCCTCAGAGCTTGAGTGCAGTTGGGAGGGGAGAGGAACTGGAACGCCATCTTTGGGCACAGCGGTGGAGTCTGGTTTGACTCTTCCTAAAGTGCATCACCACCTCTAGAGATCCATCCCCACTCTTTTCTTTTCTACCCTCCTCTTGTCCAGTCCGTGACACTGCCCTTTCTGGAGCCTAGCTCAAGTCTAACCCCCCCTCCTGCCATCAATATGATAACAGACCCCACTCAGCCAGGCTGGTGGGAGTTTTTGCACTAATGCAACACCCCATAAACTCTCCTTTTCGGGTTAGTTTCCCCAATTAAAATTGACCACAAATGGGTATCCTGAACTGCTCTGTTTAACTGGGCCTTTGCACTTGCAGTGGGCTTGGCCCTAAACCTGTCCTGTTGTCAGCATTACACCAGTAGAGCCAAAACAGCCCAAAAGCAGTGGGCAGAGATCCCTCCATAGGAGGGCTTTCTCTTTATCCGTGTAGTACTCACTGTCCCATACTAGAGCCCACTCAAAGTTCACTTTAAGCCCTCTTCTGAACACTGAAAATCCTCTCCTTTACCCAAAGCATCCTAGCTGTCACCGCTGAGCAGTTCATACCCAGTTTTGTCCAGATTCATTCACACCAAACAGGATCCAGGCCTTGTGAAACAAGGCTGGCCATAACTGCCCTTTTAGAGTGGCGCCACCAATTGAATGTGACCGACAAAGCAGCAGGGACGAGAGACTGGAGTGTGAGAATGCGTGGATGCAAGAGAAGAAGAAAGGACAGGAAACAAAGAAACAAACAAACAAAAAAAGCTGAGGGCCCCAACTCTCACTGCCATCATTGACATGGGCGAGAGGGGGTGATGTGGCTGGTTGCAGAGACAATGTCGTCAAACACAGGGAGGAAGGGCAGATGTCCCCTTCGGCTCCCACGCAGCCCCACGCAAACCCCCGCTCCCGTGCCAGCTGACGACCCCAAATGTCCTCCCTCAGCTCCCACTGTAAGGATTACCTCCAACGTTCAGATTGTGAGGATCAGGAAGACAGATCCCGCATTCCTGAGATGCAGGTTTGGGATTCCAACACATCTTTGTAAAAGAACCGATAAAGAAATCGACGGCCTTTGTTTTTGTGAGCTGACTGGGTATGTGCGTGTGACAGTAGGGGTTATAATGCTGCTTTTTACCTTCTGAGTCTGATGTAGATTAAGAAAACAAAAGATATATGAAAAGGATTTTACATCCGTCAAACAATATGAAAAAAAAAAGATGACTTTAAAAAAAAAAAAAGACTCCGGAACAAAATTATTGGAGATTTTTTTTTTTCATTTTATCATTGTTTTCTTATATTTCTGTTTGTTTGTTTTTTTTGACCCTTCAACTGCTCTGTGTAAAAGAAAAACAAAACAGCTGTTGTCACTTTTTGACCATGTGTGCAGTGTAACATATTTCACTTCTTTTTCACGTCTATAGTTTGTGTTTGTAAGCCAACTGATCTGTTTGTCCCTGTCCCCGTGTCTGTCCAGTTGTCCGTCCCCTTTTATCAGGAGGAAATTTACAACCAACAAAAAAAACCCAGGAATTTCTTTTTTTTATATATATTTTGTTCCTTTTTTTTTTTTAATGAAATACATCTTTGGAGGAAAGAAAAAAAAACAAATAGAAAAAAAATAATGCAACAAAAACTGAAAATACAAAAAAAAAAACAAAAAAAACTGAAACACAATCTTGTCATACCTCACACAACACAAGACTCAAAGGAACTTGGGAGGAGTCATATTTTGCAGGCACATGTGAAAGTTCAGAGATGCATATATAGATTTTAAAAAAGTGTACATGTCGAGATAATATGTGCTTGTGTACGCATCAGTGTAAGTTACAAAAGGACTCTTCCCTCAAGCTTTGGTGCCCTCTACCTTATTGATTTGGTTCTCGAATGACAGGAGGTGCAACTTAAACTCAAGAAAATGTCGAGACATCAGCTCTGAGCGCTGCCAACGTGAGCACTTCTCCACCTTAAAGGCACAGTCTTTAGACGGTAAACCTAAAATGTGAATGGCCCAGAGACTGAGGGATTGACTTCTGTAATAGCTGAGTGTTTTATGGAATTGAATGTAGCTGACAGGAGGGGGCTGGACCTGACCCCGGCACCCACAACCTAACTTCCACACACCAGCAGAGAGGATAGTGGTGTCACATAGATGTTACAAAACAACCAACAAAACTGAGAATATATATATTGCCCATCTGCAAGGTGCAATACTATGTTATGTATTTTTCTATGTTTTGTGTTTTGTTTTGTTTTTTTCATTTACAGCTTATTTTGGCCATAACCAAGGATGTAAATACAAAAACATACAACACTCGAAGATTCATTGTAAAAAGTCAATTTAACCGCTCCATCCCATTGTCATGCAAGTGGATAAAAGTAAAAAGAAAAAAAAGAGCAAAGTAATGTGTAATGCTTGTTACATTTTTTTTATGTGTGCACCCTCTCACATGTGCATGCAGATCCATATTCAGAAGTGCCCTGTGACATTAATCGTAAGCCCTGTGCCTCGTGTTGTTTGCAAAGAGATGGATGCATACCCCTCGTGTTCTCACGCTTCACATGAATGACTATAGTTTTGTGTGTGAGTGTGCGTTTACCTATGGGATCAGATTCCGTTTTTCCAAACTATTGATGTGAGTGTTGCCAGCAGCTGTGGCAGTTAAAGGTCAGGAGTGCAGTGGGGGATGTTTTATTAAAGAGACGCTTCACCCCAAAGTCAAATCTACATGGCCCATAGTAGAGCCGGGGTTCTCTAAGTGTGCTCCAGTGGCTCTCAGTGGCATTTTTGTGGCCCAAGTAAGAATCCACTACTATTATAATTTCATATATTTGCATATATTTTATTCATCCACAGTTCTATCAGGACTGAGAAGCCAAAAGTAAGACATGACAGGAAAACAAGGACTTTATTAAAGTGTCAAAGAGCAGTGGATAAAGAGGCAGGTCGATCTAGCAATAGGGAACCCAACAGAAAAATAGGGAAACAACAGAAAAGACTTGGGAAAAATGAGGCTTGACCAAGATGGATAGGTAAGGGTGATAAGCAACAGGTGAATTCAATCAACAGAACATGTTAAAAGAAAATTCAATAATCAACTAGTTTTCTGAAGATACACACACTTAAAAAGCCTTTGATTAAATGTGCATTTTTCTTGTGCTCCCTAAATCTGCAATTGGTCATCGAAACACCGAGAACCCCTGACCGAGATTATGTTGGTGTGAGTTGCCTTTTTCTTTTCCAGAGACATGAGCTGCAGAAACGTCAGCCTTCTCTTGAGGAACAATAATTCTAACGGGCCCATTTACTTTGTGCTTCTTAAAAACTCCCCTGTCCAACTGAGCTTTCAGTCGCCAAGTCGCTGCACTGAAGGAAAGCATGCATCTACCATGTGACAAGAAGCTCGTGCCTATGACAGAATGTGAACATGACCGGCATTCATTTCAGCTGAGCGGTAATGCTTTTCATTTGCAATGGCAGGCTTAGTTTAGTGCAAAGAAAACAGTCTGTACCTGAAACTGGTCATGTCGCAACACGGTTTCTGACTTTTCTGTAAGTAACTTCACATTACTTCTGAGTTTTATAGATTTTGGGGCACTTATGTTATAATTAAAGATAAAACAGGCGTATCTACAAATTATATATCCAAAACTCTGCAACTCACACCAAATACTCCAGGTAGATAAACGTGTATATTTGATTTTGGGTGACTTACAAAGGAAAGTTGGAAGTGGGATAGGGAGCAGGGTATTATTGGGCATGAATGTCAAACAGCTGTTTAACACCCACATCGTAGTTGTCAAAGTCTAAAATGGATTTGTTCACCAATGCCCCAAAAAGCCAGCCTAAATACACTGAATCCGAACTTTCTGTGAGGATCAATTTAACTGAAACCTGAAGTAGTTTGCAACAAGTACGTGAGGCCTCATTAACACAAGTCATTTCAGATGCCATTGGGCCCTTCTTCCACAGGTCATTTGCTGATGTGGTTGCACTTGTGAGGCATAAAGATTACTTGTGCATCTTGGAAAGACAAATGTGTATGTATAGCATTTCAGTAACTAGCTAAAACGAGTCTGGAATCACCTCTCGAATTAGTTTCAGTAATCAGATCTCAGTCAGTTTTAAATGCTTTTCTGGATCCATTTCCTTTTTTCTGCTTCTATGAGATTGAATAGCTAACCAACCTTCCCACAATGCATAAATGAAAGTACAAATGGTGTCTTAAATGATGCAAGTTTGAACCAAGCATCATATTTTCAGCTCCAACTGTTTAAAGCTGAAAGTAATTTTGGTTTATAACAATTGGTGACACCCCGAGCTCACACAAATCATGCTGTTCCTCACCACAACAAGCAGACTGATGTTTTTGAGGCTGGCTTTGTGGAGCTTCTCAGCCCTTCCCCTCCATGGATCCTGGTTTATTCTCGCATGTTGACATGTTGGACAAGGGTGGAGATTGTCTGTAATGTCTTTTGGTTTTATGGTTGTTTTTGGTTTCCCTCTCCCCTCCCCCATGCCAAATGTAGAGTTTGTTAAGACATGCAAGTAGCAAGATGTCTATGCAATTTCCCTCCAAATCCCTCCAAAAGACATGCTCACTGTAACAACTGTGAGCCGGTCTTGCTTATGAAATCAGATTTGGCCCTTGCTTGAATTCCAGAGGTTCTTTGCATGACCCAGAGACCCTTGCTACTTTCTGTGGGTGTGGGCCAGAACTGTTGGGGTTAGCTGGCCTTTAGCCCAGCCTGCTGGCTGGTCCTTAGGCTCAGTAAATCTTCACAGTCGTCTGGGACCCAGAGAAGTAGGAGGGGTTCCGGGGATGTTGTGGAGAACAAGGATTCTACGAGACGTGCTGTTTTTTTGTAAACTGCTCAGAAAGTGGTGTGTGTATGTATATGTGTGTTGTTTGGAACTTTGCTTGTGTGCGTCGAATGCGATGCTCTCATTGTTTGGTGCGTCTCAGAGCCTCAAAATATAAAATTAAAACCAGGCCCTAAATTCAGTCTTTCTTGAAAATGTAGCTTTAATCTTTGCATATCGCGACCAAGTTGCTGAAATTTATGTAGCACAAGTAAGGTTAGTTAACCATGTGCTTACCTCTTCTTTTGAAATGTGAGGCAAGTGTTTGATAGCAAAAATCCATTTTCCTTTAGCACTTACTTAGAAGCACTTTGAATTGACCAAACCAACAGTAGGTAGAAGATTCTTCAGAGGTAATACTATAATTATGAATATATATATATGTATATTTAAATTGCACCCAAGCCAAATGACTTTTGCACCATTAAATTTCTGTTCAATCTGAAAGTAAAAACGGCAGAGGCCTTTGGGCAAAGCCATGCAATGAAATAATCAATTATAGCGTTTACAGTTATTTTGAATGAAGTGCAATAAGTGGCCGAGTAAACATTGTGAATTTTATTTGATTTTTATGTCTAATCAGATCTCTTTCTTACATTTGTGTGAAAATAATGCACTGTCCCATGAGAGCATCGGCAAGACCCAGTACACACACACAGACACACACACGTGCACGCACACACGCAAACACAGACCACTTTTTGTGAATGGGTAAAGGAAGCTATTGAAGGATTCTCTCAGGTAAAAGAACATTTTCTAATAAATGATGATGAACCTTGGATGAAAAAACCATTGTTAGCTCCTCTTTTTTGTCTCAATTTGCAATCAGCAGTGTTCATTTTACACTTGTTCTGTCATCCTTTCCTGGATGGAAAGGAGTAGACATCCAGGTTCCCAGAAATCGGACCCCAAGTCCAACCTCGGGCAGACATAACCAGGCCCTCACTGCTTTCGTAACCCTAAATCGAAATCGATTTCTTTACATGTGGGGAGTGTTTTGTCTGTTGGTTTTTGTTTGTTTGGGTTTGGGTGCTTTTGTGTATCGCTTGGGTTTTGTGCCGCACTATATGGAAGACCATTCCTGCCAGAAAAAAAGAAAAACATCTGAAATATTAGGAGTATTTTTTAAAGCATCAGATTGATAAGAAAATGCTGAGAGACCAAGTCATCATTTTTACTTAAAGGAGATCGACTCCCATGTTCAAGTCGTATATTTTGATTTCACACGGTGATTATCATCACTTAACTCATTCACTGCCATTGACGTCTATAGCCGTCAATTGCAGTGAATGAGTCAATGGGTTTAACTCATTCACTGCCAATGGCTGGCAGTGAATGAGTTAATTTTGACATTTGATTAATTTAAAGTGTTAATTACGGGGTTATAACATCA